ATCTGTCCAATACTACACAGTCCAGTGTTTTCTTGATCCTCTCTTCTTCCAATGGTATTCTCGTTTTCCCAACAATGAGCAAATACAAATCTTACTATTAATACGTGCAAAGTTAAGTATACACATGCTCGTCATAATTTTATAGCATTATACATAATAAAAATAGTATCAGTTTGTAACATCTCTTCTAACCCACTCATGTCTTAGTTGTATTTGCAATTAAAGTCCCCTTGTTAAATCAATATCCTGTTTTTCCAGCTCTTATTTACCTTGATACCTTATCTTGATAGGATTTAATCTGAACTTGATTTAACCCATCCTGATCCTAAAGCTTCTACATATTGGATCTGTTTTTTTCTTCTTCTTCAAACAAGCACTTATCAAGACTTTATGTAAGAGGACAAGTTGATAGTCACACACCACTAACGTTTTAGGGTTTCTTTTCCCGCAAGAGTCTTGCTGTAAAAAATTGTAATGGTATTTGAAAGAGACAGCAGCCAAAGGAATGGTGAGGTTAAAGGCAGCTGACCACAGCAAGAACGTTGGCAGCACAGGAGGCTCAGAAGAAACCCTCCCAAGTTCTTGGGTGTAAAGGAGATGGGATGGAAGAGGAGAGGTATACTTTCTGACTTGCAAGATCCTGACAATTATCTTACAATAAAGTAGAATTAGCTCATCTGGATGTTTTCTCTACTTTGCACAGCTGACAAAGGTTCTGTTTGTATAAGAACTGCCAAATTTAAGATACCACCTGTTTCTAGTACAAATGGATGTAGGTCTTTTCTTGATGTTGTGCAACCATGAAACTAAGCAATTTTCCTCAAAGTCTTCAGTATTGGAGGGAAAGGTTACTGAGCTTCATCCATTGCCACACCATTGTAATGAAAATCCCTATCCCCTTTTTGTTCTGTTGTGTTTGTTCTTAAACGTAGCAATGAATGACATGTTCTGCACCAAATTTGTACACTATTGCTTCCTTACCTTATGTTACCTTAACTACTACGCATGGAATATTTTGTGGAAGTCTTTGGTGCATCCAAATGCACTTGAACCAAGTACCCAACATGCTTCACAATTGGTACACTGCTGGCTGAAAATGTAGAAATAGCATCCATAGTAAGGAATCATGACTGGTCAACATGACTGATGGCACTGAGTTTTTCTCTCACTTAAGAGAACAGGAGCTGAAGTACCAAAGTGGCAGTTGCAGGGAAACTGTTTTCAAGCTAAATATTTACATCAAATTGCCAGATTGTAAGAACCGTATGTTATAGAATCTTCTGCCTAAAGGTTGGTATGTGCTATATAAATTAGATAGCCATTTGTTAATGATGCTGTAGTTATGTTCTACAACCCCTGTCCTTATTTGAATAGATCACCTCCAGTGATCTTCTAAACCAGGCATGTCAAGCTGCTAGCCCACAGGCCAGATGCGTCACACCGAAACCGCACCCACCCCATTGCCGACAATGGGGGAAAAGTCACGATACATTGCATGATATCATGTGACGTCACGAGTTTGACATGCCTGTTCTAAACTCTAGGGTTTTTTTTTTGAGGTTAGAAATGTCCATCCTCACAACCATCCCAGTGAGTTCTTTCATATCTAAGAAGTTATTTATTCTCACTCTTCTGCCAAGTGAGGAACAGGCTATGTTGCTGCTGTTCTGCTATTTAGAGCTATGTTGAACTTTCAAGGAAGGGCTGGAAGAATATTTTCAATACTGCAATGCTAGAGGCTAGCGAGTCCAGGAAACCCAGTGGGTGCTGCTGCTGCCTCCTCCTCTATGACTGTTGACAGGTCATTAACTTTAATTGTTTAAACTTAAACATTTACTTTTGTTTCTCTCTGTTACACTTGATTTTGTTGTACTCTGCCCAGAGTTCATTAGAACTGGAGTAGGTAATACATTTTGTAAAATAAATTTCAAATAAGTGCTTCCAGTCCCCAGCCCTTGAGGCAGTTTTGAAACATACCATGAGAGGTCTAGAATTATCAAGAAGGACATACTTCTCTTACTCAGTTCCAACCAAGGTTGTCTATTGGAGTGACCAGTGCTGTTTCCATTTCATGTTTGAATAAAAGGGTTCAGATATTCTGTATTTTCTAGGTTGCTTTCACAGATCCCCCAACACCATTTGAACCACTTTCTCCAGAAAGGGAAAAACGGAGACGGCAACAGTTATCAAAATTAACTGGGTAACTTGCAGAATCTCCAGTATTCTCTTTCTAGAGCAAATTGCTGAAATTAACCAGATCCAAGGAAATCCTTCTTAGGAAATGCTGACCCACTGTTCCTTTGAAGGCTACCATAAACCCTTCTCCCAAAGTAAGGTGAGGCTAACTTTGAGATGACCATGTCCTCCTTGCCCTCCAAGAGAGCATTGGATTGAGCCTATGGAGCAGAAGGCTAAAAAGGGGTACAGATGACACAGTCAGACTTTGTCCCAGTTGCCACGTATAGCTGCTCATTAAAATCTGACTGACTAACGTTAAAGTGCAGTACAAATTGTTCGCAGTAGTTTGGCAGATAAACAAAGCTATTGGAGAGCGGCCTGCTGTTCCAGTAAGAGGAAAAGTAGCAGTGTTTCACCCTTGTGACCATTACACGTCATCCTCAACTTACAACCAATTGTTTAGCCACTGTTCAACCTTACAACAGCACTGAAAAACATGACTTGATCGGTCCTTGTGCTTATGATTGTCATTAGCATCCCCTATGGTTATGTGATCAAAATTGAGATGCTTGGCAACTGTCATATATTTACAGTGGTTACAGCATCCTGGGTCATGTAATCACTATTTGCGACTTTCCCAGCCTGCTCTCGACAAGAAAAGTCAAAGGGGGAAGTTGGATCTGCTCAATGTTCATGTGATTCACTTAACAACCATGGCAAAAAAAAATGGTGTAAAATCAGATGCAACTCTTTTAAACAACTATCTTGCTTAACAAACTAACCAAAGAGAGAAGCAACTTAGAACTAAGGAGAAATTTCCTGACAGAACAATTAACCAGTGGAACAACCTGCCTCCAGAAGCTGTGAATGCTCCAACACTGGAACTTTTTAAGAAGAGACTAGACAGCCATTTGTCTGAAATGGTATAGGGTTTCTTGCCTGAGCAGGGGGTTGGACTAGATGACCTCCAAGGTCCCTCCCAACATCATCATCATCATTATTATTAGAAATTCTGGTCCCAGTTGTAGTTGTAACAACTACCTGTATATATAACTCAAACTGGCTTTTCATCTTCACTGGCACTCTAGATCAGAGGTCCCAACCTTTTGGGCACCAGGGACCGGTTCCGTGTAGAGAGGTTTTTTCACGGACTGGAGGGTACATGGTTTTGTGTGTTGCCTGTATCCTGCGGATGGGGCTTTGCTTGTTTGCATGGGCCAGTTTCTTGCATGCTGTGAGCTGGTGCTGGTCCACAGACCAGGGACTGGGGACCCCCTGTTCTAGATATTCTACAATTTCGTCTCCTGGAATTCTTTTTGTAAAATAAACGGAGCCATTCAGGCTCAGTCACCAAAAATTACATGGTTTGGGGCAGTTGGAACTGTTCTGCCTCTTCATAAGCACCTAAGAGCATGATGAGAAGCAATAGATGGAAGCTAGTCCAAGATCCAACCTTGAACTAAGGAGAAACTTCTTGATAATTAGAACAATTAGTCAATGGAACAGCTGGCCTCCTGGAACTGTGGGTGCTTTATTCTTAGTGGTTTTCATTTGTCCAAGGTAGAATAAGGACTCCTGCCTTGAGCAGGGAATTGGATTAGAAGACCTCTCAGGTCCCTTCCGGTTCTGATTCTATGATTCTATAATATTCCAGAAAATGGTCCAAGCCTCTAGGGAGCAATTGTGGCAAATGAAAACAAAAATGAAAGCAAACTAAAAGCCTTTCCAACAAAGATGGCAAGTTCACTTAATACTGATAAATGTGAACGTTAAATAGCTGTAGGAGAATTTTTTCTACCCTGGAGAAATCTGAGATTATTCTTTGTCCGTTTGCTCACATGCTGTCCAGAGCTACTTTGTTTGACTTGGGCAGCCCTATAAATCCATTAGATACTTACATAGCTAGAGTACATATATCCCACCTCAGGCACTAAAACATCTTAAATTGTTCCCTGAAAAATATATGGAAGTAAAAAAGACAAAAGGTGTACAAACCATGGTTATTCTGTAGTTATTACAAAGGAAGGGTAGGTCAAAGGTGGCTCTGTTATGGAAAAGAAAACAACACCCCAGAGCAGAAGGAGAGCTCTTAAAAAATACAAAAGTAATGATATATATTTTGAATGTTATTGGAACATATGGACTACTAGGTCTTTCTATGTTAAAAAAAACAACACAAAATCCCAGAGCCCTTTAGAGAGCCAAATGCATTTTTTTATTTTGATACAGGGCACACGATGTATTTGCTTGAATTTCAACGTGCTGTAGAAAATTGGAAAATTACTTTTCCGTTATTACAAGATTAGACTTTTTAATTACGGCATTTAAGAGATCGCCATAAATGTTCACTGAATTTTTTTATGCTGTTCCATCAATATAAGAGCACATAACAGCCAAGCGCGGAGGTTTTCACACGTGCGTTTCAGAAAAGCTCTGGCTTTGAGCCATCTCTTCTCTCATTGTCGAAACAGATGTTGAACTCGGTGTTCTCTTGGTCTGACCCAGCAAGATACTTCCCCCTCCCCTTTGTTTTGAACTTCTTCATCCTGTATGTTGATTTCGAAAACATTAATAATTGAATCATCGACCCAAAAAAAACAAAAAAAAAACCCAAGCGGGTGTTTGTTTTTGAGGCGGCTCAGGAAAGTTTTGAGAGAGAAACCAGCTTTCTGGCGCCCCTGCTTGTTTCTCGGGGCGGAGGGGGGCACTTTGTTTTCCGTTCTTAGAGAAAAGTTCAGGGTCGGAGGGAAGTGGAACCGCCGGAAGGCAATGCAACCTCCCCAAATCAGGGGCCCTGACCTGCCCTCCCTGGTCACCGCCGCACAACCAACTGGCTCAACGGGAGGAAGCTGGAGAGGGTCGTCCCGCTCTCTTTCCCCCCCCAATCGGGAGGTAGGACGAGGCCTGGCCAATGAGAGAGGGCGAGCCCGGAAAGGGGCGGAGCTAAGCCGGTATTTGGATGCCCAGCTTGCCCGAGTGGGGTATCCATACCGCCGGCCCTTTATCTCCTACCGGGAGCCCTCATGACAGAGGAGGAGAACGGCGAGCTGGGCAGAGCTCTCTCGTACACCGAGCCCGCTCCGGCCCTGGACATTAGATGCAGACCCATGGCCGAAGTGTGGGTGCTGGTGATCAACACCGGGGGGACTATCGGGATGGTGCCCCAGTCCCAGGGTGAGTGAGTAAGAAGGCGCTTGGTGAGGCTGAGTAACGAGCCGAGCACCTGAAAGAGAGGAGCGATCTTCCCACGGATCCTCCCTTGCCACGCGCCTCTCGGGCGGACGGAAATTCAATCCCCCCCCCATGGATAAAGCGCTTATTGAGTTCCAGCCCGATTGAGGCAACTCCTATACAACGGGGGTCCAATCTGGTGCTCTTCAGATGTGCTAGAGTACAGCTTCCTTCTCTCCCAGCCACAGTTCCTATTGGCCAAAAGTAGTTTGGGAGAGATTTGTGATTCCGCGGTTGCTTGACTGCACTGGAGAAGGCACCTCAAGAGTTTTGATCTCATTTATTGAATGTCTTCTACCTGACTGTTCCTGAGATCTTAGCCTATGGCTGCCACCTTGAAGCTGATCTGCCACCTTGAAGCTGATCTTAGCTTAATTAGGTACATTCATAGGGAAATAGGTCTCATGAGTTCATTGGGTGAAGGGGGGGGGGCTAAGTGTGATTAGGATGGTTGAAAGATGAATCCACCAGGAGTTGAACATGATTTGAAGGAGGTTTTTAATTCTTTGTTGAAACAGAATACTGTAATGTAAAGGAGACTGGGACTCCACTGTCAGCAAGATAATTCTAAAAAATGATATAAAGTTTGATTTAATGGGACAAAGCAACAAAAGAAGGACCAGGTCTGCAAATGAGTGGGGTCTAGGTTGAGGCAATGGAGAAATCTTTTCCCAAAATATTCTCCAAGGTATCCCTATGGGAGAAGCACTTGCACATTGGCTCAGAATGCTGCTGGCACTTCTATTCTAAGCCTACCAGGCCCTTCCTTTAGGGTCACACGATCCAAGGGTTGGAAATCTCCACTCCTTCTCCATCCTTCCCAAATGCATGACCCAGAGCTGAGGGAATGCAGCCTGCCTCATACTTTGCATACTAGACATAAGTGCAAAACAAGAAAGCAGACATATTTTTATTTATTTCCTACCTTTATTATTTTTATAAATAACTCAAGGTGGTGAACATACCTAATATTCCTTTCTCCTCCTATTTTCCCCATATCAACAACCCTGTAAGGTGAGTTGGGCTGAGAGAGAATGACAGACTCCAAATCAGTTGGCTGGCTTTCATGCCTAAGGTAGGACTAGAACTCATGGTGCAGATAGATATAACTGTTATGCAGAATTAATTATTATAACACAAAGAGATAACTGTAAAACGGATGTTTCCTGTAGCCAAAAGTTGTTAAAAAGTTTGGAAAGAATGCCAGAAACCATTCCATGCTTTTCCCTGACTTGTTATGCTCAGGATTGTTCCAAACTAGTTGGAAGTAAATAACACCAAAATAAGTCCCTTTTCAGCATGAATCTTTGATATACCTTCACATTATCTCACCCTCCATGAATAACTTTGGATATTTATGTGCTTTTGCCTAGGGATGTGTGTCAATTATTAATACACAATTTTCTTCTTGGTCCAACTTTCATTTTCTCTCCTAACTTTTTGGAAATACAGGGCAGCTTGCAGAAGCATTCTTTGGCTCAAGTATTAGATACATCCAAATAAAATGATAACAAGAAATCTTAGTTGATGTTTTAGATTTTTCTTTTTTTCTTATAGACACAAGGAAGAAAACTTGGAGGTTTAATTTTGGAAGCTTTAATGTAGCTCTGCAGTTTGACTAATTTATTGCAACAATGCAATTCGACTAGCCTATTGCAACAGCTGCCTGAGTAATAGTGAAAGGGAGCCCTATTCTAAGTGAGTAATGTGTTCCTGAACATGACATCACGTAAAGGGCACTGCCTCCATGGAAAGGGCTAACATGGAAAAATGTTTATTCTTGATAAATACTCGCATACCTGAAAACCTAATTTTTGAAACAAGATTTGTACTATATAATATGCAATGTTTTATTTCATTTAAACAGGGCTAATTTTTTTAGGAACTGGAAGACCTAGTTTCTTTTTCTGATCATATGGGCAAATTAAAACTGTTTAAGAACAAGATAGGTAGTCCTATATTTATTACTGACCCCTCAAAAGGGATTTATGAAATTCCAATGTCATTCCCCCTCACGGTCACATGATTGCAACCAGCCCATGATTTAGACCATTTCTAGCAGCCCGTGGTCATGTAGATGTGACTTATATTTATTTATGTGATTTATATTTATTTATTTATTTATAAAAACTGATCCACAGTGAACAATGGCTCACTTAACAATCACAATATTCACTTAATGACTGCTGTATTCGCTTAATGACTACCACAAAAAAAGATCACAAAAACATGTCTGGTTATATGGTGACCCACTTTACGACTATCGTGACTTATGGCCGTAATTGCCAAGCTGAATTATGATCGTAAGTCGAGGACTACCTGTATTAACCTGGGCCATACTGTCAACAAGGAATGTGCAGTAGATTAAGCTGAATGCTCACAGTAATCTGACAATAAAATGGGCTGATTCTAAACATTTCAGGATTTTTCTGAAGTAATTTAAGTATGAGCCTGATCCTCTGTGTTGATTCAGTTGGGAGGGACCAAAGGTACAAGAATGGCATTCACATGTGCACTAAGCAATAATGTGATGTGCACTAAGCAATAATCTGTCGCAGATGATAGCCTTCCCTATTTTATTTCACTTCTTGCCTGTTTTGAGTGTTAGACAAGCAGAATGCATGAGCAGAGTTTTATGATTTCAGATAACAGTTTATATGGATTTTTTTTTTTTTTGATCTGGTGGAACAGCACAGTAAACCTTTGCAATTGATCCACTTTCGCTTCTTATCATTGCAATGACAATTTAGGGTTTTAGGCAAGAATATGTTTAGCTTTAACTGGAGATGCAAGGAATGAACCTGGAATTCTCTTCATGCTAACCATGTTTCTACTACTGACCTACAGTATATCTCACTCTCAAAGTTCAGATGAACAGTTTGAGAACATTGTTTTATTCATGATTTCTTTTGTTTCTCAGGTCTTGTCCCTGAAGCCAAGAAGCTTGCAGAGGCTCTAAAGAAGATGACCATACTTCATGATGCAACATATGTCAAGGAAACCCAACTATATAACCGCCTTGGAGCTGACACTTTGGTACTTCCGTATGTATTTGGAGTACTGGAATATTTTTGCTTAATGACCTTTTGAATTTCCTATGAAGCATCCTGGATATTTTTTTAAAAAATATTTAAGATTGTGTCTAGAATAACCCTTTCCAACCTGGGACTCTTCTGATATATTGGGATTGGCTGCCCAAATACTGAGCTAATCCCCTTGCAGTTCGAAAAAATAAAATTGCAATACCTGGCCAATTATGTAAATTAATTAAAATTAAATTGAATTGAATACTTTATTTGACCAGGTGTGATTAGACACCCAAGGAATTTCTCCATACATAAGCACTCAGTGTACATGCAAAGCAACATAATAATAATAATAATAATAATAATAATAATAATAATAATAATAATAATAATATTATCAATAAAAGGGGGAGTAAAGAAGATAATAAGAATAAATAATACTACAGCACACTACATGTGGTAGCAGATGTTAGTTAGCACTGAGAGAATTAAGTGTTCAGTAGAATGATGGCACGAGGATAAAAATTGCCCCTATGTCTAGTTGTTTTGTCATACAATATCCTATAATACTGTCCTGAGGGAAGGAGTTGAAACAGTTTATGATCAGGATATGACATCTTCCCAGCCCTACTTCTGACCTGCTCGATGTACAGGCTTTCTATGGAAGGCAGGCTGGTTGCAGTGGTTTTTTCTGCAGTCTTAACTATCCGTTGGAATTTGTACCTGTCCTGTTTGGTTGCTGTACCAAACCAGATCGTTATAGAATAGAGAACTCTCAAATAGATGGAAAATGGTTGAATTTGTTTATATTAGTGCTGATTTTTATAAGGAAAACCTCACTAGAGAATTAAAATATACTAGAATAATGTGTAGTAGTGGAGCCTCAGGAGGCTGAGAGTGAGGGAAAATAAATTTGCACAAGTAGAGGCATGGGGGTTTAATTTAATTTATTTATTCAGTTTAGGTGCTGCCCAACTTCAGAATGACTGTGGGTGTTGATGCTAATTTGCATCTGTATCATGTCAACCCCTCACAAGTTGCCAGGAATATCTTGCATGAAAGCCATTCTATTTGTAGATTTTCTCATCAGCTATAACTTGATACCTTTGTCCAGAGTGATCTGAAAAGCAGTATCGTTGAAACACCTTATTTCACAAAATGTTCTTTTTATGACAGTTCTTTCAGCCAGAATAAAAGAATTATCTACACCATCCTGGAACTTTCTCCTCTACTAGATTCTTCAAATATGACACCATCTGAATGGGACAAAATTGCCAGGTGCCTTGAGGTAATTTTTAAAAATAAATAATATGTTATTGGTCACAGATACATAATCACTCTGTGATCAGTAACTCAGCTATTATTTCTGATCAGTTGCTTAATATAGCACCAACACTTCAGTTCTTTCAAATTCTCAGTTTATTTTAACTGAGATGATTACATAGTCACAACCAACCAATTATCTTAATTGGCAAGTTGTGTGATTCACATGGCTGCCTATTAAACTCATACTGATATATGCCATCTTCCATTTTCCCTATTTCCTTCATTATTGATTTCTTTTTTGAGAAATGGCTTGGAGAAAACTAATGAGAATATCATTGGAACAACAATAGTGATGGCCCAGGATCTCTTAAACAATCCTTTTTTATATACAAATATTCTTCTAAAAACTAGAATCCTGCTTCTAAGATTGTTCTAGGACAGTGTTACTTAAACGGTTTGTTCTCGGGACACCTTCCCACTTCTAAAAATTATAGAGGACCAACCGCAAAAAAGCTTTGGTCTGTATGGGTTATATTAATCTAATTAAAAATTAAAATGAATGCATTTGTAGAATATTGAATCATGTAAAATAACAATATTAAACTCATTAGATATTGATTTAAATAAAATATTTTTCATGAAAAAACTTTATTTTTAATAGATAAAAATAATGATAAAGAATAACATTGAGTTACGTGCAGGCAGTCCTCAGGTTACGACCACAATTGGGCCCAAAATTTATGTTGCTAAGTGAAACAGTTGTTAAGTTAGTTTGCCCCTTTTACCAGTTTTTTTGTCACAGTTGTTAAGTGAATCATTGCATTTGTTAAGTTAGTAACATGGTTATTAAGTGAATCTGTATTCACTGAGTTTACTTGTCAGAAGGTCACAAAAGGTAATCACATGACCCTGGGACACTGCAGTCGTCACAAATATGAGTCAGTTGCCAAGCATCTGAATTTTGATCATGTGACCATGGCATGCTGCAATGGTAATATGTGTGGAAAATGGTCATAAATCACTTTTTCAGTGCCATTGTAACTTTGAACAGTCACTAAATGAACTGTTGTAAGTTGAGGACTACCTATATCTCCAATATCTGGCAAAAAATTGGTGATTTCATGGACCCCTGAAAGGGTCTTAGAGGACCTCCAGGATTACACTTAAGAAACACTGTTCTAGGAAAAGGAATGAGGAGAATGAAAGCTGATGTAACTTTAAGTGACTTCCAGTTTTATAATTCTATAATTCTATGACTCACTTAATTAGTGCCTGCCTTGCATTTCCTGGAACACATCAGTTTTTTAAAACCTTTCTGCTAAAATTCATATGACCACAAGATGGTGGTATATTGCTGCTTTTTGCTCTGCAAAATTTACAGATGGTATGCCAGGGAGAATTTGCAGAAGAATAAGCAATTTACAGAGCAATCTGGCATTATTGAAACACAATGACATTTTAAAAATAGAATTCAGTGAAATGATGAGTGTCATACTCCATAACTTTGTTGATAAAGAACTTGTTCTCTGGACACAGAAGTATTTAATCACTGAAGTTTCTGTTCAATGCAGTTAATAGTAGCAAGTTTGGGAGAAAAGTTCTAAAGATTGGTAACTGCTTTGTTAGGATTGTTGCTCCCAGAATTCCCAGCCAGTTTGGTTCTATCTGAATTGTATAAGGCAGGGGTGTCAAACTGCCGGCCCATGGGCCGGACGCGTCACAAGGAAACTGCATCCACCCCATTGCTGGCAATGAGGAAAAAGTTCCGATATGTTGCGTGATGTCATGTTACGTCATGAGTTTGACATGTCTTGTATAAGGTGTACAACAGAGTTGTATTGAGCTACATGGTTATTAGTTCTGCACTGACATTTCTGTTCTCTGGTATATGTTCAAACTTCCAGAAGCTAGTATATTAGTGGCTTAGAAAAAGTCATTTTCATTTGTTACTGGAAATCAAAGATCTGTTATGCTGTAGTGCAGTTTTGATGCATTGGTTAGGTATCATCAAGTTGCTATAAATTCTTAGTGACTACATATATAGATTTCCTCCATAATAGTCTGTTCTTAACGTGGTCTTTGGATCTTCAATAGTGACTCGTTGTCTAGTAGCTGAGACCACCCATCTTTTGGCTGGTTGTCTTCTTCTTCCTTTTCCTTCCACCTTTTCCAAGCAATAGAGTCTTCTCCAGAGAGGTCTGCTTTGCATAAGATATCTGAAAGTTAATTTCAGCCTGGTCATTTGTGCCTCAAGTGAGAACTTTGGGTTGATTTGTTTAATGATCTATTGGTTTGTTTTCTTGGCTGTCCAAGGTGTTCTTAGGAGTCTTCTCCAACATTTTATTTCAAAAGCATCAACAAGGTAATTTTAAATACTGGATTTCATAATTATCTGGAAGCTCACTATTTATTTACTGTTGCATTTGAGGACATTCCCCAAAAGACCAACATGTGGGATCCTGGGTTTTTGTCTCCCAAGTCCTGACTCTCTACTCCTCTGGGACCTCACTATGTTCCCTTTGCGAGAATGGTCCTTCTCTATGGCAGATTGATTACATGACTTTCTCTCAACTGCCCACACTTGAGATGTTGTACAATGTCACAAATCTAAATAAATGATCATTCACTTATTTATTTGATGATTAGCATCAGTGAAAGTGATAAAGGGCACTGGAGAGAAATTAAATATTAAAGGTTACAAAGACAAAGTGTGGCCATTGCATATTCAGTGGGTCAGTCCTCCTTTCCTTTGTTCAGATTTTTCTCTCTCAACTAAAAGGGCTTTCAACTATAACTTTTTTCCCAACTACATAGGATCATTCTATCAATCTGGCATTTACAAATTATTGTGTAGATGTCTAGTTGTGGGTCCAGTAAGCTACCTCCATCTGGACGCCTGCTGAAGATGCGTGAAACCACCTCAGTTTTAAGAGACCACAGTAGATCTAGAGAAGTCGGCCATTGTGAACAATTGGATTCTGTTTTCCATGTTTGAAATTGTTGTTTGATTAGTAAATGCCATGTGATATTTTATATATAAAAAATAAAGTAAGCTTCAATATATTTATATTATTTGGGCTTACATACTGCTCCAATCGTCCACTCACTCTGAGTGGTTTACAATCCTATATGGACATATATGTTTAAAACAACAATAGAAAACAATAGAATATATACATACACATACAGTATAAATAAAATATTTGTATGAGAATCCTAACCCTAAACATAAATATATCCCTAATCATAAATATAACCCTAATCATAAATGTTCTAGTGAGTAAGACACTAGACTAAACATCAGGAGACTGTGAATTCTATTCCTGTCTTAGGCATGAGAGACACTAGGTAACTTTGAGCCTGTCATAGTCTTAGCTCTCTTTCCCTCTCCTTCCCTCCCTGCCTCCCCCCCTCTCGACTAAAACATATAAAAAGACTAAAGCATATAAAGAACAGTTGCAGGGATTGCCACAAAGAAGACAGAGTCAAGCTATTCTTCAAAGTACCTGAAGGCAGAACAAGAAGCAACAGATGGAAACTAATCAAGGAGAGAAGCAACCTAGAACTAAGGAGAAATTTCCTAACAGCCAGAACAATTAACCAGTGGAACAACCTGCCCCCAGAAATTGTGAATGCTCCAACACTGCAAGTTTTTAAGAAGAGACTGGACAGCCATTTGTTTGAAGTGGTATAGGGTTTCCTGCCTGAGCAGGGAGTTGGACTAGATGACCTCCAAAGTCCCTTCCAACTCTATTACTACTACTACTATCATCATCATCATCATCAATAAATAAAGATCTTAAATTTAAAAAGTCAATTAAAATGAAAATTAAGCAGGAGGGAGAGGGAAGGAGCAAAGTGCATACAGGAAGGAGATTGGGTATTCTCTACCCCATCAGCTACTTCCAATGTGCCACATCCCCATTGGAGCCCCATAGCCATGTCTTCAAGACATTATAGAAGGTCAAAAGGGTGGGAATGGATCTGACCTTGGGGGCAAGTTGTTCCAGAAGGTGGAAGCGGAAAAGCTCTTCATCTGGACCCCATCAACTGAAATTCATTGGTTGATAGGATCTGCACATATTCCTCCTGTCAGCACAGGTAGGGCAAGCTAATTCCATTGGGGTGAACTGGTTTCTCAAATAGCTTGGACTCATGCCATGAAGGGCTTTAAAGATAAGGACCAACATCTTGAATTGGACCCAGGAGTGAACAAGCTTTCAGTGCAGCTTGTGTATATAGTGAAGTAATATGGGCCATCCTAGGGGTCCCAAGAACTGCCTGCGCAGCTACATTCTGCACCAGCTGAAACAGAATTACAGAGTTGGAAGGGACCTTGGAGATCTTCTAGTCCAACCCCCTGCTCAGGTAGGAAACTCTATACAATTTCAAACAAATGTCTATCCAATCTCTTCTTAAAACTTACAGTGTTAGAGCATTTACAACGTCTGGAGGCAAGTTGTTCCACTAATTAATTGTTTTCTTAGGATATTTCTCCTTTGTTCTAGGTTGATTTTCTCCTTGATTAGTTTCCATCCATTGCTTCTTGTCCTGTCTTCAGGTACTTTGGCGAATAGCTTGACTCCCTCTTCCTAGCCCTTTTTCATTAAACTAGACATACCCAATTCCAGCAACCATTTTTTTTATATATTATACAAAGATCATCTCACTCTTGGACTACTGCAATGTACTTTCCATTGGGCTATCCTTGAAAAGTATCTGGAAGTTACTCTTATATAATATATAATATACTTTTATATAAAATTATATAATACAATAATATATATTATATAAGAGTAACTTCCAGATACTCTTCAAGGGTAGCCCTATGGAGAGTGCATTGCAGTAGTCCAAGTGTGAGATGATCAGGGCTTGAGTGACTGAGGTCTATTTGGGATAATGCAATACCCTCCAGAACTAAACATGTTAAAGTCCTCCCTCCCTCCCTTCCCAATTTCAGTTTGCTCACTTCTAATTCAAAATCATGCTTTAACCAGTGAGTTACATTTTGGACAGGTTCCTTAAAGGATTGTTAATTTTGATTCTTTCACAATGCAGAGTGGTATAAGCAAACTTCAATGGGAGCTAAATGCATAATAGTTACTCCTGGAGGTAAAATCATACCCAAGAGATTAGCTCAACAGAATGTCACAAATTATTACATTATAACGTATACAGACTGCTGAGTTCACACATCCTGCTAAGCCATCATGTGGGTTGTCTCATTTAGGCTGTGTAGTGTATGAACGCAACCAGTGGTGGCTTATTCAGGAAGCCAAATATAAGTAAACTAATGGCTAATTAGGATGTGTGATTCCAATTACTGAATTAAATGAATTAGTCCATAGACCTGTACAAAGGCCCACTTGAAGGATACTGTTTAATACTTACATTTTACAATAGAGGAACACTGAGAAAATTAAGCAATTAATGCCAGGCTGGCTATTGCAGATAGTTCTTTTTTAAGAAATAATAATTATACTGGTTGTCACTTTTTATCTAACTTTTGCTATATTAATGTTTCTGACTTTTGACTGCATGATTTTGTAATCTGCCCAGAGAACTTTGGTTGTGGGACAGATAAAAAAATAGCAAATTAATATTTGCAAATATACTTGCCATTGTAAGCCAGAAATCCTTCTAATTTGAAAGCCTCCTGCAATTTGTTCTACTTTTCATCTACTTTCCTTTGCTCTCTTTGCTCTCTCTTTATTGAAAACTTTAATTATTTCAGGCATGAAAACAAAGATTGTTGCCAATTCTACTCAGAAAAAAATAATTAGATATAAACAATGTTGTCTTCCACATTATGGGAGGTCAGATGTCGTAGTACAATGGCAATGGACATGGCATCTCTAATTTAAAAGAAGTCAGGTGATGAGAAGGGCTTGCTTGAAATCTTAGAAACCTATAGCCTATCAGACAATTAGTCCTGGACCAAAAAAAATCAATGATCTGATTCTGCGTACCACTAATTGTATTATTTTAAGATTGGCAAATGATAGCTTAGAATTTACCATTAGCCATCTGGGAGATAAGGTATATCCAAGTGTCTATTCATTCTTTGACAATGTAAATTTCTAATTTTATTTAAAGAAATCTCTGTGGATATGTGTGTGTCTGTGTATTTTATGTACTGTCTTATGAACAGACGAGGGCAGTCTTCTATTAGCATTTGGCATCTGGTAAGGATGGCATTTTTTCTGTATCCACTATTACAATAGCTCCAGTTTGCTTAGTCTGCTCCCATAAATGGTATAATCCCCAAAGTAAAAGTAAGAACAAGGAATCAGACCATATGATTCATTTACATATGTTAACATTCCTGTTTTAAAGCTTCTGCTAAGCTTTTCTTAATTAGCAGTCTTCCTCTGGTTAAGGACATATCATTAATATTTATACACCAAAGAACAAGTCTTTGAATGTTGTCATAATTAGTGACTGAAAAAAAAAAAAACTCTCACTAGATTTTATGTTGTCTGTATTCTTTAAGAATTAATTAGGTTTTTTCTTAGAAGCTAGATAGGCATACTCAAATAAATAAGGGATTATTGATCATATTTTCTTGTATTAGTCAGATATAAGGGCTGTCCTCTGCTGGGATTTTTCAAGTCCTTCCTTTGTTTTTAATTTTTCAGTTTATGTTTTAGCATCCATTTGTGTGAGGATGGGGGAAAAAAATCTTTATCTATTCTGCCGGAACAGGCAGACTTGGCTGATAGAGATCAGATCATGATTCTCCAACATTCAGTCATTCCTCCATCTTGAATGTTCTCTAACTGATGTGGGCTCCTTTAGTCCCAGGCAACACATCCAACTCATCTAGTGGATGCCATGTTGGAATGATTCGTCATGATAACTTTTTAAATGTACATTTGGAGAGACATTTTTTTCCCTCTCTACCCGCTTTTTAGAGATCAGACAAACAAATTCTAATATCTGCACTGAAAGAACCTCTCTACTATAAATGAGAGCTCAGTTTTATTTTGTTGTGGTACTGAAAGCAAACTAAATTAGATTGGTTTTAAATTACCTTGCCCTTTGCTATTTAATTCTAAATTACTAACTTTTGTGCTTGGTTGGTGTTGATTTTATTGATATAAATCAGGGGTGTCAAACTGCCGGCCCGTGGGCCGGACGCGTCATCTGGAAGCCACCCCCACACCATTGAAGGCAATGGCAAAACTGTCCCGATACGTTGCACGATGTCACGTAACGTCGCGAGTTTGACATGTCTGATATAAATGCAACAAGCATGATCTCTGTCCATCACCATTTTATATCCAACAATTCTCAAAAGGTTTGTATTATTTAAATACTGATTATTTTGTCCCTTTGTTTCTCTTACCACAATTTGTTTTGAATTTGCAGGCAAACTATGAGAAGTATGATGGATTTGTGATTCTCCATGGCACAGATACAATGGCTTATACATCTTCAGCATTGTCCTTCATGTGTGAGAACCTGGGTAAAACCGTAATCTTGACAGGATCTCAGGTAAGAAATTTTCAGTTAAACGATATATTTGTATTGAAAAATAAGTTTTGACTATAGAAGACATTTTTTTTAAAATTCTTATTCATTACAATTTTTCTACTCCTACTTGCACATGGAATAAAGTGAATGAGAAATGATGTGGACAATTCATGATCATGTATGGTGTTCTTTTTTAAATTGGAAATATCCTGAAATACAGCTAGTTTGATTGAGATATTGGTACTGCTGAAGGTTTGTTGTTTTATTTTTTAATCTTCTCCCTTTTCCTGATTCAAATTGTTCCTCCTTACCCTTGGCATTATTATTGCTGGAGCTTGCAACAGTTTTAAAGGGATGATTTCTACCAGGGAACAATGTTTTGGGAAGAAGTAATGAATCCCTTCCATTTAATCACCACTGCAAATCATCTTAGCTCTTTATGGTGGTTATTGCGAAGAAAGGACAATTAAAAGGGGATACAGTAAAATACCTTACTTTTACAGACTATTTGCTATTTAATTGCTTGCCACAAGGCTGTTCATGATTGTCATGAACCATTGGTGGAAATTTGACTTTTGCATTAGCTAAAACTTGAAAAAAAAATGCAAAGAAATAGGCTAAATGTTGGGAGGATTGTAGTGATCCCTCTTCCACTTTGAATTATTCCCTCTCCCACCCCAACATAGAGTATGGTAAAATTCAAGGATAACGTCATGAGGTGTGGGAGAAAGTATTTTACATTCCAAATGAGAAATTCCACCATCTGCCATAGTTGAGATGAAGAAATACAACCATGTTCCAATAAATCATACGTTAAGAGAATGCTTCATAAATTATGCATGGCTTTACACTCGCTTTGTATTGTGTCGACTGGAGTTGCTCTCTCTTATTGCTGAGTGCACATGATTTCTTTTTTAACAGCAATTGGCTATTATTTCTCTCTTTTCTAGATACCAATATATGAACTGAGGAATGATGGCAGAGCCAACCTGTTGGGGGCGTTGTTGATTGCTGGACAGTTTGTAATTCCTGAGGTCTGCTCCTCCTTTTTTTTTTTTTAATTGCTTTTAGACTCTTTGTTCCCTGTAAGGGCTGCATTGTAGATCATGACTGGGGTGGTGGGGAGGTAGTTTCAGAAATATTTTAATTTTTTAAAAATGTATAAATTTTAAAAATACTTGATCCTCTATTGATTCAATACTATTATATAACAAGAAACAACAATTACACAGGTACGGAACAGGCAGTACCTGGCAGTAGTAGTACCAGTGAGAGGAATTCAGGCCCTAGTTTTGGGGCAAGGCACAGACCTAAAAATCAAGCTAGGACGGGACCGGGGGGTGGAGTTGCCCCATATGCCTTACACCTGCTTATCATTGTAACCAGGCCTCCCATGAATTGACACCTGCCTTGCCTTGCCGGCCCACTTCTGCGGTGCTCCATGGCCTGCATTTTGCTGTCAATCCATAGCTAGGTTCTTGGCTGCAGCGGCCTTTCCAGAAGGCCTCTGACAGCAAAATGCAGGCCGGGGATACCGTGCACGTCAATCCGGAGCACCATTCTCAGCTGCAGAGGCATTTCCTTCTGCCACAGAAGAAGTGGGCTGGCTGAGTGCCGCTGCCGTAAGGTGAGACTGTGGAAAAGACACCCCCTGAAAATAAGTTCTGGTGCCTCTTTTGGAGGCAAAAAAAAAAAGGACCGGGACTAATTTTCAGGGAAACATGGTAGTTGCCAAAAAGGCCAATGTAGTCTTAGGCTGCATCATCACAGGGATAGCATCAAGATCACAGGAATTGATAGTACCACTCTATATTGCACTAGTAAGGTCACACCTGGTATGCTGCATCCAGTTCTGCTTACCATGATACAAAAAAGAGGCTGAGGTTCTAAAGAGAGTGCAGAGAAGAGCAACAAAGATAAGTGGTCCGGAGGCTAAACTGTATGAAGAATGACTAAGGGAACTAGATATGTTTACTTTAGCCTGATGAAGAGAAGGCTTATCATAATAGCAGTCTTCCAATACTTGAAGGGTATTGGAAGAGGGGGTTGACTTATTCGCCACAGGGAAGAGGGGGTTGACTTATTCTCCAAAGTACCTGAGAGCAGAACAAGAAGCAATGGGGGGAAGCTCATCAGAGGGATCCAACTTGGAACTAAGGAGAAATTTCCTGACAGTGAAAATTAATGAAGCAGCTTGTCTCCTGGAATTGTGGGCACTCCATTGCTGGTGGTTTCCAAGGTGGAATAAGGACTCCAAGGTTCCTTCCAGCCCTATGATTCTACAAAAAAAGGATTCCCTGTAGATTTTACTCTGCTAGTTGTTGCTGACTGCAAGGGATGGTGCTCATCTCTGTTTCGAGGCCATTGAGCCAGCACTGTCTGAAGACATTTCTGCAGTCATGTGGCCAGCATGACATCACGGAGCACTGTTACTTTCCCACCAAAGTGGTACCTATTTATCTATTTGCATTTTACATGCTTTCAAATTGCCGGCTTGGCAATAGCTAGAGTGAGAATGGGAGCTCATCCAATCGCATGGCGCTTAGGTCTCAGACCTGGACTGATGGCTTTCCAACCAACAAACCCAGCTTTTTAACCAATGAGCCACCACGCCACCCATTCTATGTGACTGCTAAAAAGAGAAATGCACTTTTAGGCGGCCTCAGTATAGCTGGATTTTTCAAATCATGGGAAGTAATTGATTATGTGCCATCAAATTGGTCTTGACTCTTAATGATCATATACATAGATTTTATCCATGATGCTCTGTCCCTAACCTGATCCTTCATGTTTTCCAACAGTTCTGTAAGGTGCTGTAATTGAATCTATCCACCTTACTATTTGCTATCCTCTTTGTTTTCATCTTTCCCATCAATACAGCTTCTTCTGAAAGTTAGCTCTTACATAATATGTTTAGAGTATGATAATCTAAGCCTGGTCATTTGTGCCTTGAGTGAGATTTGAAAATGAACATTTGTTCATTTTCTTAGCTATCAATGATCTCTCTGAAATCTCTAACACCAAAGTTCATAAGCATCAATATTTGTTAATTCACTTTTATAGAATGTCATGGAAATTTTTTATAGGTACCAACATATGTCAACATCAGGATATGTTTTCCAAGATCTTCATTGCTACTCTACAACACTCAGCAGAGTGTTTTGACTGCTGATTCTTTCACTGTTGATGCCTGATCCTAAAAGGCAAAAACTATCCACCACTTCAGTATCTTCATTGCCAATTCTAATGGGAAATAATAGCTTATCTATGTTTTGCATTGGTGAGATTCCTACTTCTGTTGCCCAGAGGTATTGTCCAGCTCTTGGCACCACACTTTAAGAAACATTTAAATAAATTACAGGAAAGCAGATTCTGCTTGAATGTTAGAGCTGATGAGTTCTAATATTACAAATAGTAGTTTCCTGCAGTACACATAAGAATATTGGATTTCCCAATCATTTTAATGGTTATATAGGTACTGCCTATTGTCGCAATTAGTTTTTTAAAAAACAAAAGTTACTACTATAAGGTCCTTCTACTTCAGTGTGACATTGCTTAATATACAGCCTCAAAAAATAAATGGCTGTCAAAAATCAACTTCATAAGGTTTGAAACTTACCAATTATTTGAATTAAATATGATAGGAAAATGCATAGATTATTTCAGTTGTGATGAATCTATGGCCTTCCACATGTGTCTAGTATACAGCTTTTAGTATTCCTCAACATTGACTTTGGTCTCGAGTGATTGGGAATTACTTAGTAAAAGGTTTCCCACTCTGAATTTCCATGGGGATTAATCTGTAGTGGCATAATGACCAATAGGCTGTGACAATCTGGACAGAGGGAAACCCGGAAACTTGATTGATATCTAGGTAAACTCATTTTCTACTTGCCTTTCTAGTAACTCAGTATTGTCTGCTCTGTCAAGAATATCAACACTTCTGGAGGGATTTTGCACATTATTAAAAGCCCATTCTACCCCCCTTTAAAAATAACTTCAGAGATCTGTCACAAGTCTTGAGAGCTGCCAAACCTGTTCTTGGAAGGAAATCTCACAAGGAGTTTATTTGTATTTTGTTGTCAAAATCCAAACGAGATACAGTACTTTTCAAAGCTGCCAAGAGATAAAACCCTCCTACATAACTTTAATTATATTTATAACTCTCTCTAAAGTAGTTTTCATTGTATAGAAAGAAAAGTCAACTTTATGTGTATGTATGTTTTAATCTGCTGGATATTTTAATTACAAGGCTTGCACACTGACATGCTTCTTTTCTCATCCTTGTAGGTGTGCCTGTACTTTGATAATAAACTGTACAGGGGAAACCGGGTGACTAAGATGGATGCAGGGAGTTTCAGTGCCTTTTCTTCACCTAACCTGCCTCCGCTTGCAAATGCTGAGGTTGATATTATAAGTAAGGAATGATGTGATTTCAACTTTCAGGCTGTAGTTAATCTGTAACCCTTTCCTGGAGTGTGGTCACATGAGATCAGGTTGTTCAAGCATCTTTATCTTTTATTTATGAGGTTATTTTTGTTTGTTTGTTTGCCAGTACTAAAATAAGCACCTGAATTCTCTCTTTATTCAGAACAGACATGATATGAAACCAGTGGTGGGATTTAAATATGTGAACAACCGGTTCTCTGTGTGGATGCCACTCCCAGAACTGGCTGAATCCCACTACTGTATGAAACCTATTTCATATATGGATCACTTTTGAATGACATGATCGATGTAACTTATAGTTTATCGTACTTGCAACTGCTTGTCCAATTATTCCTCCTCATTGTCTCTTCAAATGTCCCTCTAAAAATGCCATTGTCAAGGAATTTTTGACTCACTGGTTTTCAATTTCACTTGCTGGCAACCAGACAAACAAACCTGAAGCAATGTCTGGTTAATGAAAGTAGAAATTGAAGGCAGGTGATAAATTCAAGTGTGGTTGTTGGAGAGCAGTGTTTTCAGTATCTTGTGAGTTCTGCTTGTAACAGAGTACCATATATAATCCCTGAAGAAGAATTGACTAATGTTCATTTTTGTTGATGAAATGCATACTTCTATTGGTTAGAATAGGACATAACATATTCCCAGGGCCCTTGGAGAATAAAAGCACAACTGAATCCCACTTCAGTTAAAGTTACTTAAAGCTGAACTGAATTCATCTCTGCATGCCTCAGTAACAGGGTTACTGTTAAAGATCAGAATTTTAGTAATTCTGTATTGATGCCATGGTCCTTCTTCAGCTAAGGAATAGGATTAGGTAGCACATACAGTAAAGTGACATGCATGAAATTTACATTTTAAGTCTAAATGATTTATTGCATTAAAAGATTTTATAACCAAAGTGCTTAAACCTAACAGTGAATATTTAGAAATTAAATCTCCAATAGAAGGGTAAACATTTTACCTGTCCTGTTCTCCTGGCAAAAATGCTCCTTGATTTTAAATAAGTGCTAATGATTCATTAGAGGGAGGACAAACATATCAATTTCACATATTGGACTAAAACAACTCTGACTTGTTTAGTTTTGACTGACAGTGATAGGATAGATATAGATATAATCTTTACTTGGATTTAAGCATAAATGAACCAACTTATTCAATGAGCCAGGTTTAGAACAAATATGACTTAGTGCAATGCTAAGTCCATATCACCTAGCTTAAGTTAAAGTCTCTTTTGACTTATTTTGACTTTTGGTAGCTTCTCAAAAATATCCATCTAGTTTTCTTGGCATCAATACAAAGTGGTTTGCTACCATTTTTTCTAGGATGATTTCTTAACTTCCCAGTTGAATTTACAACTCTGGCAGTCCCGGGAGGTCTCCAATCCAAATATTACCAGGCCAACTCTGCTTGGGAGCCCAAACCAAGCAAGGGCAGTCAGATGCTGCCACTCTCTGAGACAGTTGGCAGAGATTTCATTAAGGCAGAAAGAGAATAACTTTTTTGGTAAACAGAACATTGAGATTCCCAAGCCAGAACTAACCCTATGTTCAATATGCCAAATATAAGTGCAAACTTGAATCCTGCTTGCTAAATGTTCTCTGTTGGAACAGTTATTTCTTGGCAGAAGCTGGACATCCATCTGTGAGAGATGCTAGCTTTTCTACATAGAACAGTCTGGATGACCTTAAAGAAACTATTTAATGCTCAGCTGCCGTAGGGAATACTATGTTGCCTAGCATGATAGTAAATCTAGATTTGTGAGTCAGTAACAGGATGTGATAAACAAGGTGAAATCCCATCCCTTTTTTATGTATCACAAAAAAAAGCAAAAGTTTGATCGCAGCATTGTGGCCCACCACCTTGATTTTTTTAACCACACAACTTATTGTGACCAGTCTGAATTCACTGTTTAATATTCTTCTATAATTTACATATTTGTTTCATTAACAACATAAATTTTAAACAATCCAACTTAGAACCATTAAACTAGAATTTTTATGAACCAGTTCTAGGCAGTCCTATTCAACTGAAATATCTCGAGCCCCTTGTGAACAGATAAGCAATGGGTATTTCCACCCCTGCTCAATAAATACAAGCATATTTATACATAACATTACTGTTTGGATGGATTAGGCTACCTTTGCCTGTAAGAACTTGTGTCTATTATTTTCAGTAATAGCACATATATAATTTCGTTCTGGCCAGGAGAAGGTGGCTATATTTGTCTTGTATGTGTCTTCTCTTGTATGTGTCTTTGTCTTGTATTATTTGTATGTGCCTTGCCTTGCCAGATCAGAACTTCCACTATTGGCTGTTCAGAGTTTTCTAGCTCATTGCTGTACTCAGAATGAACATGCAAAGTTATGTAATTGAGGTTAAACTACTTTCAGCCTAGCAGGGAAGGGATGAAAAAAATGGTGTCAGGTCTTCCCAGCAGATTGGAACTAGCTGAAAGTTGCATTTCAGGTTTGATTTTGCAGATGGATTCCCCACTCCCTCCCTCTTAGGGAGGGGTCACTTCTCAAAGCTATTGTACTCCTTTAAAGGAAAGAATTTGTCAGAATCCAATTATATTTCATCTTTAATTATCAAACATAGAAACTCCCAATTCTGCCTTCTCTGGATTCTGCCATAAGAGGGAGAAAAGGGGGAGAGCAAAGGGGCTTTATGGCCCTCACTTCCTTCAGCACACTTCAAAGGACTGAATGTGTGTTTATTGTGGCCTCTAAGCTTTAACATATCAAAGAAGAGTAATTGCCTTTCATGTAGTTATCTGAAGTCTCCATCCAGACGGAAGAAGAAAGGGGATGGAATTGTGATACTTGAAACTATCACTGGAAGGGGGGTTGATTGGGTGGGACTACTGGGGAACCCCTTAAAACCTTGAATGGGAGAGCTTGAACCCCAAGTCCTGTCTAGCATGCCTGCAACCATTTTCTCTTAATAAAGGATTCCTGTTGGAAGAATTATTCCAAGAGTTCTGTCTTCTTAAGATGCAAAGTGGGGTGGGTCCTTACATTAGACAGGACTTGCAAAATTAATCCACCTGGAAGGTAGACCCTTGCCGGGGGATTTTGCAAAAATTTACCATGTCAGACAACGAAGCAAGAGAGGGAGAAAACTCCCTGGAAAGAGAGCCGCTGACCCAGTTGGAACCTTGCCAGATGTTGGGATCCGAGAGGCCAGATTTCTCAGAAGAAGAAGTGGTGGAGACACAGGACCACAAGCCTCGCTGGTCGATGGGCGTTGGAAAGAAAAGCGAGTGGGGAAAGGAATCAAGAAAAGTGACCCTGAGACGGGGGACCAAGCAACCAGAATGGAAGCAGGAGATGGAGAAATCCCTGCACGCAAGTGAAGAGGGAGGAAGCTGTATGCCGTACTCAGACTGGATCCTAGAGAGAGCTATTGACCTGATGAAGAGAACTCTCAGCTCCCTAGGAGAGGAGATTCCTGAGCCCTACGCCCGCCCCAGTTCCTGGAGCCACAAAGGGAGAGACACCGAGGGGGACGTGGAACCTGCAACCCCAGGGACATTTACTGATCCAGGAGCTCCCACCCCCTACCGGACCACAGATGGAAATCTGGACGGAAGACACTACCACCCACAATGGAGGCACCGATCCATTCCAAGACGTCCACCGTTGGAGGTGAAATTCAAAGGGGAGCCAACACGCTTGGGGTTTTTCCTAACCCAAGTCCTCAGCTACATGGAGGAATATGGGCAGGACATCCCCAGCGACAAAGCCCGCATCCGGATCGTGCAATCTGCCCTGGATGGACCAGCTGCAGATTGGGTGGTGAACCTGCATGACTCCAATGCCCCAGAACTCAGTAACTTCAACCGTTTCATGTCCTCGTTGAGAAGACGATTTGAAGACCCCCTGGCTGATCGCAAAGCCCGTGAAAGAATAACAACGATGAGGCAGGGCAAACGCCCAGTGGCTGAGTATACACAAGAATTCCGAGCCATTGCCAGCAAACTGAATTGGCCAGAAGACATCCTCCTTGGCCGTTTCAAAGACGGACTAAACTATGATCTATATGATGCTTGCCTGCCCCGAGGAGACCCACATCGACTTGAGGAATGGTACGTCTTGGCAGAGGAAGCAGAGATCGACATATTGAAGAGGCATCGCCGAGGAAAACAATGGAGCCGCCCCCCGCCTGAGCTGACACACCAACCGGTGAAATCATCGGATACAGCCAAGAAGCAGATGGGGTGTTTCAAGTGCGGAAGAGAAGGGCATCGAGCTGTAGAATGCCGCTCAAAGGCCCCCCAGCACAACCCAGACAGATCCCCAATCAACAAACCCAGAGGGTATTCAGCTAAGCCAAAAGAAACAGCCATGAAAATGATGGAAATTGCAGAAACCCCCACCTCTGCTCACCAAGGGGAAAGAACTCCAGCCTACACCACAGGGACGGTGGATGCCTCAGATGACAGCTCGGAAGGCGAACCCCTGGTAAGTGGACGCATCACACCCATCTTCAAAACAGTGACTATATTAATCCCCCCCATGCCCGAAGCTGTGAAGGTGAAAGCCTTAATAGACTCTGGCTGCACCCGCTGCCTCATTAGCCCAACACTAGTGGGGAATCTGGGCATCCCATCCAGGAGACTGGAACAACCAATCTCATTTGGCCAGCTAGATGGATCCATAGCAGGGGGGGTGCCAGCTACCCTAGCCACTCTGCCAATACACCTCTCCCTGGGCAACCATGAAGAGGACTTAACGTTTGTGGTGACCCCAGGCATGGAATGCCCAATGATTCTAGGGATGGAATGGTTGAAAAAATGGAACCCCTGGGTAAATTGGAGGACGACAGAAATCAAATTCCCGAAGGGGGACCCTATGGACTTAAAACCCCAAGGGAGGCTACCAGAATCAAGAATAGAAAAAGCATCCATAGGAGAGGAAAAAAGATTAACAGAAATACCAGAGGAATATAGGGACCTTGCTGAAGTCT